ACACGTGTTCGCTTTTTCTCGTGTTGCCGTTTTTTTTTCTTTTTTAAATCTGATTTTGTCCGTTTGACGATATTTCACAAAGTCTGTCATTTGTGGTTTTGCAATTTCTCAAATGTTTTCCAAATGCGCTCGTCTGTGGTCGTCTCACTCATCACTTTTTCCTCTGGATTATTTTTCTACTGTCCTGACACACAGAACGTGCACACGCTGCTGCTGCTGCTGCTGCTGCTGCTGCTGCTGCTGCTGCTGCTGCTGATGATGATGATGATGATGATGATGATGATGATGATGATGCTTGAACAAATCACAACAACTCACCAAGAACATGTCCAATAAAAAACATGATTTGGTTTGGTTCTTTTTGTTGTTAGTTTCTGTTTGTGTCACGAGGAGAGAAAATTTAGCCCCAAACACAAAACCTGCACGAAAACTGTCAATCGTTTCCAGTGTTGGAGTAACGTTATAAAAGTAATGAATTACAGTAATGCGTTGTTTTTTGTTGTAACGCAGTAATGTTCGGCATCACAGGGAAAAAACTAATATTTTCCTCGGTACAAATGTGAGTAACGCGCGTCATGTTGCTTTTTTAACCTGGATTGAAGTGGTGGGTTTTTCTTCATACAAATTCACTAAAATCACGGCGACATCAGCAGCGGCGAAACGACGGAGACGCCCGTGTAGACCGTCAGGTGACCGCGGGCGAAAGGACCGACACACAACTCCACGCTGTTTAGACCTGGGTCAGTCCTGGTTTAGACCTGGTTTAGATCTGGTTTAGCTCTGGGTCAGTTCTGGTTTAGTCCTGGTTTAGTCCTGGTTTAGACCTGGTTCAGTTCTGGTTTAGACCTGGTTTAGTCCTGGTTTAGTCCTGGTTTAGTCCTGGTTTAGTCCTGGTTTAGTCCTGGTTTAGTCCTGGTTCTGGTTTAGACCCTGGTTTAGTTCCTGGTTTAGACCTGGTTTAGTCCTGGTTTAGACCTGGTTTAGACCTGGTTTAGTCCTGGTTTAGTCAGTTCTGGTTTAGTCCTGGTTTAGTCCTGGTTTAGTCCTGGTTTAGTTCCTGGTTTTAGTCCTGGTTTAGTCCCTGGTTTAGTTCTGGTTTAGTTCTGGTTTAGTCCTGGTTTAGTCCTGGTTTAGTTCTGGTTTAGTCCTGGTTTAGTCCTGGTTTAGTTCCTGGTTTAGTCCTGGTTTAGTCCTGGTTTAGTCCTGGTTTAGTCCTGGTTTAGTTCCTGGTTTAGTCCTGGTTTAGTCCTGGTTTAGTCTGGTTTAGTTTTTAGTTCTGGTTTAGTCCTGGTTTAGTCCTGGTTTAGTTCCTGGTTTAGTCCTGGTTTAGTCCTGGTTTAGTTCTGGTTTAGTTCTGGTTTAGTCCTGGTTTAGTTCTGGTTTAGTCTGGTTTAGTTCCTGGTTTAGTCCTGGTTTAGTCCTGGTTTAGTTCCTGGTTTAGTTGGTTTAGGGTTTAGTCCTGGTTTAGTCCTGGTTTAGTTCTGGTTTAGTCTGGTTTAGTCCTGGTTTAGTTCTGGTTTAGTTCTGGTTTAGTCCTGGTTTAGTTCTGGTTTAGTCCTGGTTTAGTTCTGGTTTAGTCCTGGTTTAGTCCTGGTTTAGTCCTGGTTTAGTCCTGGTTTAGTTCTGGTTTAGTCCTGGTTTAGTTCTGGTTTAGTCCTGGTTTAGTCCTGGTTTAGTTCTGGTTTAGTCCTGGTTTAGTTCTGGTTTAGTCCTGGTTTAGTTCTGGTTTAGTCCTGGTTTAGTCCTGGTTTAGTTCCTGGTTTAGTCCTGGTTTAGTCCTGGTTTAGTCCTGGTTTAGTTCTGGTTTAGTTCTGGTTTAGTCCTGGTTTAGTCCTGGTTTAGTCCTGGTTTAGTCTGGTTTAGTCCTGGTTTAGTTCTGGTTTAGTCCTGGTTTAGTCCTGGTTTAGTCCTGGTTTAGTCCTGGTTTAGTTCCTGGTTTAGTTCTGGTTTAGTCCTGGTTTAGTCTGGTTTAGTTTTAGTTCTGGTTTAGTCCTGGTTTAGTCCTGGTTTAGTTCTGGTTTAGTTTGGTTTAGTCCTGGTTTAGTTCTGGTTTAGACCTGGTTTAGTCCTGGTTTAGTCCTGGTTTAGTCCTGGTTTAGTTCTGGTTTAGTTCTGGTTTAGTTTAGTCCTGGTTTAGTCCTGGTTTAGTTCTGGTTTAGTTCTGGTTTAGTTCCTGGTTTAGTCCTGGTTTAGTTCTGGTTTAGTTCTGGTTTAGTTCTGGTTTAGTTCTGGTTTAGTCCTGGTTTGTGGTTTAGTCTGGTTTAGTCTGGTTTAGTCCTGGTTTAGTTCTGGTTTAGTCCTGGTTTAGTCCTGGTTTAGTCCTGGTTTAGTGGTTTAGTCCTGGTTTAGTTTCTGGTTTAGTCCTGGTTTAGTTCTGGTTTAGTCCTGGTTTAGTCCTGGTTTAGTTCCTGGTTTAGTTCTGGTTTAGTTCCTGGTTTAGTCCTGGTTTAGTTCTGGTTTAGTCCTGGTTTAGTCCTGGTTTTAGTTCCTGGTTTAGTCCTGGTTTAGTCCTCTGGTTTTAGTCTGGTTTAGTCCTGGTTTAGTCCTGGTTTAGTCCTGGTTTAGTCCTGGTTTAGTCCTGGTTTAGTCCTGGTTTAGTCCTGGTTTAGTCCTGGTTTAGTCCTGTTTAGTCTGGTTTAGTCCTGGTTTAGTCCTGGTTTAGTCCTGGTTTAGTTCCTGGTTTAGTCCTGGTTTAGTCCTGGTTTAGTCCATATTCGGTGTAAAAGTTCTGTAACAGTCGTGTCGTGTTTTATATTTTAAACACAATAATATTGAAATGTAACAAAAGACTTTAAATGACAGAAATAAGTCATAAATTACACATTTCAGTTTTAAAGTCACTTGTCCAACTCGTTTGTGCTGCTTTAGTTTTGGAGATATTAACGATTCTTTTACAGCCAGAAATCTGTGTGTCGTTCGTTTTTTCATTTTTCAAAATAAAACCAAAAATAAGAAAACGAAAAAAAAAAAACCCAACAATTTTCTTCATTATTTGTCCAAAACCAAAATGAAAAAAAAGATAATGATTTGTTTTTTTTCAGTTTTTGATTTTGTGTTTAAATGAAAAATGCAGACATGTCAAACTCAGGCCCGGGGGCCAAATTCGGCCCACGATATAATTATATTTGTCCCGCGAGATCATTTCAAAAACATATTAGAGCTGATCCGCCGCACACAGAACGACTAAAGAGACATGATTTATTTAAACTTGTTATGATTTTATTTTCTGTTTGTTCTGAATTCAATGTTTAAAATTTGAATAAGAAAAAGGTTTAACATTTCAGATTTGGAAAGAAGAGAAAACTTTTCCAATAATAATATTTAATTTGGTCCATGATTTAGTCCCAGTTTTTAATTTTGGCCTCTGTGAATTTGAGTTTGACTCTCCTGGAATAATGGAAAAAAACGAATAACGGACTGAACCAGGACTGAACCAGGACTAAACCAGGACTAAACCAGGACTAAACCAGAACTAAACCAGGACTAAACCAGAACTAAACCAGGACTAAACCAGGACTAAACCAGGACTAAACCAGGACTAAACCAGGACTAAACCAACTAAACCAGGACTAAACCAGGACTAAACCAGGACTAAACCAGGACTAAACCAGGCTAAACTAAACCAGGACTAAACTAGGACTAAACCAGGTCTAAACCAGGACTTAAACCAGGTAAACTAAACCAGGACTAAACCAGGTCTAAACCAGGACTAAACCAGGTCTAAACCAGGACTAAACCAGGACTAAACCAGGTAAACCAGGTCTAAACCAGGATTAAACCAGGATTAAACAGGTCACCACCATCACTCACACAATATAATTATGTTTTATTTGACACGTGTCTCTTGTTGTTTTTAGCTGCTCATTTACGATTTATTCAAACAAATTATATATTTTTTCTCTTTGTTATTATAATATTTTGTGATGTTTGACTCCTGAGTCCAAATCATTTTCCTTGTGGAGCAATAAATTTGGTCAAAGTCAAATATTTTACTTTTTGCATTAATATTTTTAAAGTTATTCTCAGCGCAACACCACAAACAAAACAAAGAATTTATGTTAAAGTTTGCACATTTTAACACGTTTTAAAGTTTGTCTAAGTCTAAAAATAAATAAATAAATAAATAAATGAGACGCTGGGCTGTTTTGTCCCAAAGTTTCGGAGGTGAAACATGAAAACTTTTGTCGTAACTTGACTCTTGTGTCTTTTGTGTTTTACGTTTTTAGGGGAAAAAAAATTTAAATAAAAAATCTCTTCAGAATGTGACTTGTAAGACGCGCACGCGCACACGCACGCACGCGGCACCATGGGACGGGCTCGGGTCGTGAGCGCGAGGGCGTGGGCGCGAGGCGACCCTGCTGCGCATGCGCCGGGCGGAGAGCCGAATGGGGTTGCCAGGTGTGAGATAAATATCGCGTTTGACCAATAATTCTAAAAAAAAAAAGGCCAAGTGTAAAAGCAGTGAGTGTTAAGTTCTGAAGTGTAAATCCCGCAGGAGTTGTTTATGTTTAACACCGTCTGGAGTGATTTACAGTTTAAATAATAACACAGTGACATTAGACTCAAACAAACTTTATATATATATACAAAATAAAATAAATAAAACCGAAAAATAAGTAATAAAACATAAAATTTCAGTTTCAGACAAAAGGACACAGATTTTTCCATTACATAAGTGTGAATTGTTGTACAGTTGTAGGGAGTATTATCTGTGACATAAGGGTGAGTTGTTGTACAGTTGTAGGGAGTATTATCTGTTACATAAGCGTGAGTTGTACAGTTGTAGGGAGTATTATCTGTTCTTTCTGTAGATGTTCTTTTTTCGTGTCTCTGTGGAGGTTTTTTTTTTTTTTTCGTGTTTCTTTGTAATGTTTTTTTTTTTTTTTCGTTTCTCTGTGGATGTTTTTTTTTTTTCGTGTCTCTGTGGATGTTTTTTTTTTTTTTTTTTTTTTCGTGTCTCTGTGTGGAGGTTTTTGTCTCGCGGATCTGGCACCCCCGCGCCGCCATCTTTGCACTGCTCCGGTCGGTTGGGCTCGGTTTGGCTCGGTTCGTTTCCAGCGGAGCGTCGCTGCTGCTCTTCCCGCACCAGGACTCTCTCCTCCCCCCGGAGCGGCTCTCACTCTCTCCTGTACGGCCCCCGTACGGCCCCCGCACGGCCCCCGCACGGCCCCCGCACCCGGAGCCATGGCAGACAAAGAGAACCTGGTGTACAAAGCCAAGCTGGCGGAGCAGGCGGAGCGATACGACGGTAAGACCCGAGCGGCTCCCGGGGATCCGCGTCCGTGTGCGGGCTCAGGCTCACGGCTCACGGCTCATGGCTCACTCACGGCTCCGGTGCGGCTCCGTGCTGCGGCTCTGTCCCCGGGGTCGCGCTTCGTCACTCCGGCGCGAGCTCGTGTCCGCGGGAGCCGTTAGCATGTTAGCATGTTAGCCGTTAGCTCAGGGCGCTACGTGCTAACAGGCTAACAGTGCGGCTAGCGGCGCACGAGACACGATAAACTCAACACTAAGAGACACAGAGAGACAGAGAGAGACACAGAAGAGACACAGAGACAGAAGAGACAGAGAGACACAGAGACAGAAGAGACACAGAGACAGAGAAGAGACACAGAGACAGAAGAGACACAGAGACAGAAGAGACACAGAGACAGAAGAGAGACAGAGACAGGAGCCGAGGCATTGACAGAGATATAGGCAGGGGGAGAGACAAGAGACGGAGAAAGAGGAGACAGGAACAGGGACAGGAGCAGGGACAGGGGCAGACAGGTACGGACAGGAGACAGGGACAAAGGAGACAGGGGCAGAGACAGGGCTGCCCCTGGTAGAGACAGAGATGGAGACAGGGACACAAACATGGACAGGGGGAGAGACAGGGACAGAGGAAACGGATACAAAGGAGATGGGGACAGAGGTATAGGCAGAGACAGGGGCAGACAGGTAGGGACAGAGGGGACGAGGACAGAGGCAGGGGACAGAGACAGAGGAGACAGAGACAGAGGAGACAGGGACAGAGGAGACGGGGACAGAGACAGAGGAGACAGGGACAGAGACAGAGGAGACAGGGGACAGAGACAGAGACAGAGGAGACGGGGACAGAGGAGACAGAGACAGAGGAGACGGGGACAGAGACAGAGGAGACGGGGACAGAGACAGAGGAGACAGGGGAGACAGAGACAGAGAGACAGAGGAGAGAGAGACTGAGGAGACGGGGACAGAGACTGAGGAGACGGGGACAGAGACAGGGGCAGAGACAGAGGAGACAGAGGAGACAGGAGGAGAGACAGGGAGACAGAGGAGACGGGGACAGAGACAGAGGAGACGGACAGAGACAGAGGAGACAGGGACAGAGGAGACAGAGACTGAGGAGACGGGGACAGAGACTGAGGAGACGGGGACAGAGACAGAGGAGACGGGGACAGAGACAGAGGAGACGGGGGAGAGACAGGAGACGGGGACAGAGACAGAGGAGACGGGGACAGAGACAGAGGAGACGGGGACAGAGACAGAGAGAGACGGGGACAGAGACAGAGGAGACGGGGACAGAGACAGAGGAGACGGGGACAGAGACAGAGGAGACGGGGACAGGGAGGAAGAGACTGGGACAGTCTGGTGTTGCTCAGATCTCTCTGCTCTGTTCTGTGCTGCTGTCGGGGAATAGAACCGTCCACCTGCAGTCAGAGGACGGGAGGGGACGCTGTGGACAGGAGGGGACGCTGTGGACAGGAGGGGACAGACTCACATTCCTCTGACTCTGTCCTCACACAGAGGGTCTCGTGGGACTCTGGACTGAACCACGGGTTTACAGTCTGACCTGTCCTCCCCCTGTCCCCCGTCCCCCTCCTTGTCCTCCTTGTCCTCCCCTGTCCCGAAGTGACAGGAGGCACAGACACCGAGAGAGACACTCGGCATGGAACTCTGTCCCTGTCCCAGTCCCTCCTCTGTCTCGTTTCTGTCCCTCGTCTCTGTCCCTCTTCTATCCCATCGCTGTCTCACCTCTGTCCCTCCTCTATTCTGTCCCTGTCCCACCTCTGTCCTTCCTCTGTCCTGTCTCTGTCCCTCGTCTCTGTCTCAGGACGGTTCATATTTTCTCTTTTCTTTCTCGTCCCTCTTCAGTTTGTCTTCGCTTCTGTCCCTCGTCTCTGTCCTTCTCATCTCTCTCCGTCCCTCCTCTGTCTCGTTTCCGTTTCTCCTTTGTCCCTTCTCTGTCTCATTTCTGTCCTTCCTCTGTCCCGTCTCTGTGTCTCAGGATGGTTCATATTTTGTCTTTTCTTCCTCGTGTCTCTTCAGTTTGTCTTCGTCTCTGTCCCTCCTCTGTTTCGTTTCTTTCTCCTTTGTCCCTTCTCAGTCTCATTTTTGTTCTTCCTCTTTCTCGTCTCTGTCCCTCGTCTGTGTCCCTCGTCCGTGTCTCAGGACGGTTTATATTTGTCTTCCTCGTGTCCCTCTTCAGTTTGTCTCTGTCTCCGCGTCTGAGGCTCGTTGCAGTTTTTTCTCGGAGAGTTTCAAAAGAAGTCGGGCGAGTTCTGAGCCAGTTATGTAACCGAGCGTGACAGGTGAGGACAGGTGCGGCCGTAACAGGACGTGACACGGGCGACGACAGGTGACGACAGGTGAGGACAGGTGCGGCTGCGCCACGTCTGAGCAGATCTGAGTTTGGAAGAGAAACGCTGAAGGTTCAGAAGAAGAGAGACGAGAGTTTAAATGTGTTCACTGCAAACTGAAACACGACAGAAGAAAAGAGAGACGCAGAGAGACAGAGAGAGACGCAGAGAGAGACGCAGAGAGAGACGCAGAGAGAGACGCAGAGAGACGCAGAGAGACGCAGAGAGAGACAGAGAGAGACGCAGAGAGACAGAGAGAGACGCAGAGAGAGACGCAGAGAGACGCAGAGAGACGCGCAGAGAGACGCAGAGAGACAGAGAGACAGAGACAGAGAGACAGAGAGAGACGCAGAGAGAGACGCACAGAGAGAGACGCAGAGAGAGACGCACAGAGAGAGACAGAGAGACAGAGAGAGACGCAGAGAGACAGAGAGAGAGACGCAGAGAGAGAGAGAGAGACGCAGAGAGAGACGCAGAGAGAGACGCAGAGAGAGACGCAGAGAGAGAGAGACGCAGAGACAGAGAGAGACGCAGAGAGAGAGAGAGAGAGAGAGACGCAGAGAGAGAGACGCAGAGAGAGACGCAGAGAGACGAGAGAGAGAGAGACGCAGAGAGAGACGCAGAGAGAGACGCAGAGAGAGACGCAGAGAGACGCAGAGAGAGACGGAGAGAGAGACGCAGAGAGACGAGAGTTTAAATGTGTTCACTGCAGACTCAAACACCACAGAAGAGAAGAGAGACAGAGAGACAGAGAGACAAAGACAGACAGAGAGACAAAGAGATGCAGAGAGACAGAGAAGAGAGACACAGAGACACACGAGAGACGCAGAGAGATGCAGAGAGAGGGAGGAAGAGAGAGAGACAAAGGAGGAGAGAGAGGAAGAAAGAGAGGAGTAGAGAGAGAGCGAGAGAATAGGAGAAGAGAGAGGAGCATAAAGAGGAAGAAAGAGAGGAGCAGAGAGACAAAGGAGTTGAGAGAGGGAGAGGAGCAAAGAGGGAGGAAGAAAGAGAGGAGCAGAGAGACAAAGGAGAGAGAAAGAGACAGGAGCAGAGAGAGAGAAAAAGAGAAAGAGAGAGGAAGACAGGAGCAGAGTTTGTCCACGTGCAGAAGAGGAGGAAGAGGAGAAGAGTCTGGGTGTGGGTGACTCAGCCTTGTTTGCTGCCGTGTCATAAACCTGGACTGTTTGTTTGAGTGTGTGAGTGTGTGTGTGTGTGTGTGTGTGTGTGTGTGTGTGTGTGTGGGGAGGGGGGGGGACAGAACACTGCACCACTGACAGGGAGAGCCACACCTGCTCCTGTCTGCTCCTGTCTGCTCCTGTCTGCTCCTGTCTGCTCCTCTGGATGATCTGAACTGAAAAATCTGATCAGTGCGTCTCTAAAAATACTAAAATAAATCTCTATAATTTCAGTTTTCAGGAGCCTTTAACTCAGGAGTCTCCGAACTTTTGTCTCTGGGCCCGGAGTCGTAGAACAGAAACGTTTGACCCTGACGACACAGATATTATATTTATTCTTTAAAAACCTCCAAACTTTCTTTACACTGCATGCCCCTCACACTAAACAAAAATAAAAATAAAACTAATAATTGGTCGTTAATTTTTTTTTAGAAAACTGCACACTTTCTGTCAACTTTTTTCTCCTTTAACATGAGACATTTTACTGTCGTTAACTTTGCTAGAAAACTCTGCTCATGTGACCGTCACTGTTTGATTTTGAGTTTGTTACGTGATGAAAATTTCTGCGTCAAATATAAATACTTCATATAAATAATAATTAAAATATAAATACGTCATATAATAATAATTAAAATAAATATGTATATATAATAAAATATAAATAATAATATAATAATTAAAATATAAATATGTCATATAATAATTATTAAAATATAAATAAGTAATATAATAATTATTAAAATATTAATACGTCACATAATTATTAAAATGTAAATACGTCACATAATTATTAAAATATTAATACGTCATATAAATATAATCTTTTAAATTGTAAAAATCAAAATACAAGATGCAGATGTGTGATTATTTACCAAAATCAAAATGTAATTTAAAAAAAAGGCTGTGACACTTGTGAGGACTGAGGGGCTGGGGGCCGGTCAGAGGGGCGTGGAGGACCGGAGTTGGACCGCGGGCCTTAGTTTGGCTCTAAGACATCATACAGATGATTATAATTCTATGTACGTGCTTAACCCCTGTGTTTAATCTTTTGACATGTCTGATTTTGGGGGCTGTCGTGTGTTGAACGTCAAAAACCCAATAAACCGATTTTTTAAAAAGGATTAAATATGGAACTTCTTCACAATATAATTAGAATTTTAAAATTCTTGTTACTTCTAAATGAAAAAAACAAAGATTATTAATCTGTGTGTCATTCGTTCATTTGTTTTTCAAAATAAAAACAAAAATTCGAAAACAAAAAACTATTTTCTTCATTATTTGTATCCAAAACCAAAATGAAAAAACATAAAGATTTGTTTTTTTTCAGTTTTTGATTTTGTGTTTAAATGAAAAATGGAAAAAAACTGATAACGGTCGTTTCCCGTTTACGTGACTTTAGTGACTGTGATATCGAACTGAACCAGGACTGATCCAGGTCCGGGACCAGACCGGGACCAGAGCGGGACTGAGACCAGTCCGGGACCAGACTGGGACCGAGATCAGAACTGAGACCGAGACCAGACCAGGACCAGGCCAGGACCAGACTGAGACTGAGACAGAGACCGGTACTGAGACCGAGACCAGGCCAGGACCAGACTGAGACTGAGACAGAGACCGGTACTGAGACCGAGACCAGGCTGGGACCAGACCGGGACCGGGGCTGAGCTCGAAGCTGAGGCTCGGAGTCCTCTCTGGTCCCAGTCTGGTCTCGGTCTCAGTCCCTCTCTGGTCCTGGACCTGGATCAGTCCTGGTTCAGTCCGTATGCAGTGCAAAAGTCCAGCGTCACAGTCACTGAAGTCACATAAACGGGAAACAACCGTTATCTGTTTTTTTCATTTTGTTTTTGGAGACAAATAATGAAGAAAATTGTTATGTTTTCATTTTATTATGTTAGTTTTTATTTTGAAAAACGAATGAACAAATAACACACAGATTATTATCGTCAGACTCTTTTTAAATCGTGATATGATAGTTTCTTGTCGGTCGTCCTGCCCCCTGGTGGTGGGTCGGTGTCGTTGCAGAGTTCTGTTCAGTTGGTCTTCTGCAGTGCCGGGCCTCGTGTGTTTGTGGGAGAGGTTCTGGCTCCGGTCCCAACTGCACGGCTCCATCACAGAACCACTGCAGCCCTCACGCCCCGACACCAGCGCCGCCTCGGACTCCAGACCACGACTAAAGTCACAACAAAGACTAAAGACTTAACACTCAGTTTCCACGAGACTAGAAACGAGATCAGGTCCACGAGAAGGAGTCAAAACAAGATATTTCAATGATATTATCATTCCAAATATACACATTTCACGTTTTTCCATTTTGTTTCTGTTTTTTTTTGGAACCAATACTTGAAGCGTTTTTGTCCGATCCAAATGTGAACACTTCTCATGATCATTTTTTTCAGAATCTCGAGGCAGTTTTCTATTAGTTTTTTTAATTTATTTTAGGGGTGGGATTAAAAAAAAAAAAAATCATCAAATTACAGGTTTTGTAATGAATTCATCTCAATCAGATCACTATTTTCCCCAAATCAACATTTAAAAAAAAAAAAATTGATTTACGAGGACGACTCCATCAAATAAAACGCACCGACACTTTTAAACTCCAGCTCTTTTTTTTTTTTTTTAATGCCTTGAAAAAAATAAACTGCATTTCATTTCAAAACCGTAAACAAAAGTCCAAAACTGAAGAGGCTAAAGTCAAACTCTCTTTTCTTTTGCAATAAACAACGCTTTTGTCAATATTTCAGGTCATTCGTTTTTTTTTTAAATTCCCGTCCAGCAGAACCAGAGACTTTCCTGCTCCACTGTTGTGTTTAATCCATTTAATGTGTTATTTTTTTCTTTGTAATTAAAGTATCACGATTGGCACGTTAACGTTACCACCCCTGATGTGATCAATGCAAAAGAAAAACTTGAATTTATTTATTTGAACGTTTGAATGTTTGGAGGATAAGCCCCTTGAGATGTCTCGCCGTCTCGTTTTCGAGGGAGGTCCTCATAAATACAACGACAAAAGACAGATACAGTAGGACAGACAGTAGGAGACATAAAGTCAAATAACAAAATCAGCACAACCACAAACACACACACTCACACTTGACTGTTTGACACATCATAAAACAAATTTGAAATAAATAAATAATGATAAATAAAAATCAAACAGAGTTCAAAGATAATCACAGAATACAACAAGATAAACAACAAAATTTAACAAAATAATCAAAAACGATGACATGGATTCTGAAAATATTGAACCAGAGCATTTTTAAATGAAGGGACAGAAGTTAAAGCTTACGACGGAGTATAAGGGTCAGATAAAAAAAAAAAAAAAAAAGATGCTGGTGCTACGAGAATAAAGTCGTAACATTTCGACTTTAAAGTCGTAATATTATGAGAATAAAGTCGAAGCCAGAAAAAGTCATAATTTTACGAGAATAAAGTAATAATTTTACAGGAATAAAGTCGTAATTTTACGAGAATAAAGTCAAAGTTAAAATAAAGTCGTAATTTTACGAGAATGAAGTCGTAATAAAATCTAAGTCAAAGTGAAAAATGCGTCAGAAGAAGAACCTTGTTTTTCAATATAAAACCAAAAATAAGAAAACAAACAACAATTTTCTTCATTATTTGCGCCTCCGGACTGAACCAGGACTGAACCAGGACTGAACCAGGACTGAACCAGGACTGAACCAGGACTGAACGAAGTCTGAGACCAGACCGTGACTGAGTCAGGGACCAAGACTGAGTCAGGGACCAAGACTGAGACCGGGATCAGACAAGAACTGAGACCAGGATTGAGACCGGGAACAGGACCAGGACTGAAAATGGTTTAGTCCTGGTTTAGTCCCGGTTCCGTCCTGGTTCAGTCCTGGTTCAGTCCGTATGTGGTGTAATAATCCCGCATCGTCACGGAAACGCCATTTCCCATTTCCGTGACTTAAACCAGGACTAAACTAGGACTAAACCATTTTCAGTCCTGGTCTGGCCCCGGTCTCAATCCTGGTCTTTATGGTTTGGTTCCAGACCTGGTTTAGTCCTGATTCAGTCCTTGTTTATTCGAATGAACGAATGATACACAGATTCTTCTCCTTTACAAAATGCTCCAAATTCTCCATTCTCCATGAGCAGCCGATATTCTCCTGATATTACCACTTTATTTTGACTACGACTTTATTCTCATAAAATTACTGCTTTATTCTCATAAATTTACGACTTTATCCTCGTAAAAATGACTTGATTCTCGTAAAATTACAACTTTTTCTGGATTCGACTTTATTCTCATATTACGACTTTAATGTTGAAATGTTACAACTTTATTATCGTAGCGCCAGCATTTTTTATTTTTTTTTATCTCACCCTTATACTCCGTCGTAAAAGCTCGAATCGACGAGGGAAGATCGTTCCAATCAGAAGGAGTTTTATATTTAAATGAGTGTTTTCCTATTTGTTTGTTGACTCTTGGGACGACAAAAAAATATTTGATCTGCCGACATAAACTGTAAGAGGATCTGAATGGAATTAAATACTGTTTGAGATATTCAGGAAAACTGAGATTAATGCTTTTAAAGATAAATAAGATAAAAAAGTTGCTCGTAAATATGCAGGACTGAAGCCCAAGTTCACTTCATCCTTTTCCCCGTCGACCAACACCAGACACATCGTCTCAAGAGATCTTCTATTATCCCTAATAGTAATACATTCTAAATACATTTGGAAAAAAAACCCAAAAACCTCAAAATAAAGCTGGCCTAACGTCGGTGTGTGTCTCGTGTGTTTCGTGTGTTTCAGAGATGGTGGAGTCGATGAAGAACGTGGCGTTTAAGCAGCAGGAGTTGTCCGTGGAGGAGAGGAACCTCCTGTCCGTGGCCTACAAGAACGTGATTGGAGCGCGGAGAGCGTCCTGGAGGATACTCAGCAGCCTGGAGCAGAAGGAGCAGAGCAAAGGAGGCGAGGACAAACTCAAGATGATCCGCGACTACAGGAAAACGGTACGAACGCCAGGATTTCTCTTTTTAAAGCTCCTGTAGAGACTCTGTAGTCACGTGACCGTTTTTGGCGACGGTAACTCCACTCAGTAACACGACTCGTCTGTGGTCGGGTCATAAATTCTCCGATTTATGGCAGAAATTCATGAATCACAAATTCCGGTCATCACACAATCCATACTGGGAAGGATCCTCCGAAAAAGTGAGCATCAAACCTCCATAAAATCCGTGTATCATTCGTTTATTCGTTTTTCAATATAAAACCAAAACTAAGAAAATGAAAAAACAACAGTTTTCTTCATTATTTGTCTCCAAAACCAAAATGAAAAAACGGATAACGATTTGTTTTTTTCAGTTTTTGATTTTGTGTTTAAATGAAGAATGGAAAAAACGGATAACGGCCGTTTCCCGTTTACGTGACTTCAGTGACTGAGATGCTGAACTTTTGCACCGGGTACGAACTGAACCAGGACTGATCCAGGTCCGGGACCAGGGCGGGACCAGGGCGGACTCCGAGCTTTGACTCCGAGCTTTGACTCCGAGCTTTGACTCCGAGCCTCTGCGGGGTCTGAGCCTCTGCTTCGAGCTCTGGCCCTGTCCTGGGCTCTGAGTCTCCGGTCTGGTCCCGATCTGGTCCCAGTCTGGTCCCAGTCTCAGTAGCGCTCTGGTCCTGGTCTGGTCCCGGACCTGGTCCATTTGAACCAAAAACTCTTAGTTCGGTTTGTTTTCGTTGGTGTGAAAGTGTCAGTTTGATGCTTTGCTCCACCTCAGAACCAGTCGTGGTTCTTGAGCGTGGAGGACTGGAGCAGCTCGTCCAGACCTGTAGTCCACAGAACATTCTCACTTTCCCCGCACGGAACCAGCGCACAGACGATGACACAGAACCACTCGGACCACTGGTCCCGCTCTGGTCCCGGTCTCAGTCCCGCTCTGGTCCCGGACCTGGATCAGTCCTGGTTCAGTCCGTATGTGGTGCAAAAGTTCAGCATCACAGTCACGTAAATGGCCGTTATCCGTTTTTTCATTTTGGTTTTGGAGACAAATAGTGAAGAAAACAGTTGTTTTTTCGTTTTCTTATTTTTGGATTTATATTGAAAAACTAATGATACACGTATTCTCCATGTTTGTTTTCCCAGTGGGACGTGTCTATTGTCAAAGTCGATCTTTTCAAGTCTTTTGAACCATATCACTTTTATTTTTGGTTCTGATATTGTCATATTTTAGTTTTGGGATTCGGACATCGTTAATTGTGTGGTTGTTGGATCCAAACAGCGGAAAACAATACACACACGATACACACACAAACATACATTCAGTTTGTCCATTAAAATGAACGTAATCGATGAAATTCTTAATGATCAATTATCGATTAATCGACTAATCATGCCCATCCCTACTATGAACTGGGTCTGAGTGGTTCTGTGCCGTCGTCTGCGAGCTGGATCCGTGCGGGGAAAGTGAGAACGTGCTGTGGACTGCAGGTCTGGGCGGGCTGCTCCGGGATTATATATTGTTCTGAGGGTCCGTTCTTCCCGGGGAAAGCTCTTATCAGGACGAGGCACCGAACACCTGGATCACTCCCCTCTCCAGGTCTTCTGAGCCCGGACAGAACCAGAGCTGCTCCCGCCCGGTCAGGACTCTGGTTTGGATCTAGTCCGACTGTAGATACTCTCGGTCAGAATTCCAAATATGGGACGTGGCTCCAGATTCGCCGCTGTATCCGCCGCCTCGATGAGCTTCATTTGGAGCTGAACTCGCTCAGGACACTTGTGGGATGGACTCGTGTGGAAAAGAAGAAAGATCCGCACTGCAGTTCTGTGACGTTTTTATTTCAGTGACACCACAATGTCTGAAGAAACGTCACATTGTCGTGTCACTGAAATTAAAACTCAGGATCTTCAGAAAAACGACAGTGTGGATCTTTGTTCTTTTGCAGAGTTTTCGTTGTCTGTGCGTGTCTCTGTCTCAGTCTGGACTGTCGTGTCTCTGTGCAGGTGGAGGAGGAGCTGAAGGACATCTGCGGGGACATCCTGGACGTCCTGGAGAAGTGTCTCATTCCCATCTCCACCACCGGAGAGTCCAAAGTCTTCTACTACAAAATGTAAGTATGTTTTTACTGTGTTTGTTCTAATATTGTGTTTGTGTCCTGCGCTCTGACTCCTAAAAGTCACTAAACTCACGTCTGACTCTGAGTCACCAGTTTTCACACGATTTTAAAACGTATTTAATGTGGAAACTATCGAACATTCAAAACTCATTTATTTAAATGAACCTCCAACATTAATGTCCTGAAGTCTTAGAAATAGAGGTGTAACGAAATCCAAGGTCCCGTTCACACTAGTGTGTATGTGAGTGGTGTTGTTGTGTGTACAGTGTTTGTTCACACTAGTGTGTATGTGAGTGGTGTTGTTGTGTGTACAGTGTTGTTCACACTAGTGTGTATGTGAGTGGTGTTGTTGTGTGTACAGTGTTGGTTCACACTAGTGTGTATGTGAGTGGTGTTGTTGTGTGTACAGTGTTCGTTCACATTAATCTGATGTTAAACTTCTCCAGAGTCTGAACGATCTGGTGCCTCCAGCTCCACGAGTTCATGTTGGTCCAGATGTGATGGGGACTGTGTGAAAACACTAAGACACACAATATGTGTCCATTCACATAAACGTGTGTCTGTGTGTACGACCTGCACATGAATAATCTCTGAAACGTTTCACATGAACCAACAACACGACAGAAACACAGAACAGACTGAGCATCAGCAGAACACCCCTCTGTCACAGAGAGAACACCCCTCTGTCACAGAGAGAACACCCCTCTGTCACAGAGAGAACACCCCTCTGTCACAGAGAGAACACCCCTCTGTCACAGAGAGAACACCCCTCTGACACACAGAGAGAACACCCCTCTGTCACAGAGAGAACACCCCTCTGTCACACAGAGAGAACACCCTCTGTCACAGAGAGAACACCCTCTGACACAGAGAGAACACCCCTCTGTCACAGAGAGAACACCCCTCTGACACAGAGAGAAACACCCTCTGTCGCAGAGAGAACACCCCTCTGACACAGAGAGAACACCCCTCTGTCACACAGAGAGAACACCCCTCTGTCACAGAGAGAACACCCTCTGTCAAGAGACACCCCTCTGTCACACAGAGAGAACACCCCTCTGTCAGAGAGAACACCTCTGTCACAGAGAGAACACCCCTCTGTCACAGAGAGAACACCCTCTGTCACAGAGAGAAACCCCTCTGTCACACAGAGAGAACCCCTCTGTCACACAGAGAGAACACCCTCTGTCACACAGAGAGAACACCCCTCTGTCACACAGAGAGAACACCCCTCTGTCACACAGAGAGAACACCCCTCTGTCACACAGAGAGAACACCCTCTGTCACACAGAGAGAACACCCCTCTGTCACACAGAGAGAACACCCCTCTGTCACAGAGAGAACACCCCTCTGTCACAGAGAGAACAGACACAGAGAACACCCCTCTGTCACACAGAGAGAACACCCCTCTGACACAGAGAGAACACCCCTCTGTCGCAGAGAGAACACCCCTCTGTCACAGAGAGAACACCCTCTGTCACACAGAGAGAACACCCCTCTGTCACAGAGAGAACACCCCTCTGTCACACAGAGAGAACACCCTCTGTCACACAGAGAGAACACCCCTCTGACACAGAGAGAACACCCCTCTGTCACAGAGAGAACACCCCTCTGTCACACAGAGAGAACACCCCTCTGTCACAGAGAGAACACCCCTCTGACACAGAGAGAGAACACCCCTCTGTCACAGAGAGAACACCCCTCTGACACAGAGAGAACACCCCTCTGTCACAGAGAGAACACCCCTCTGACACAGAGAGAACACCCCTCTGTCACAGAAGAACACCCCTCTGACACAGAGAGAACACCCTCTGTCACAGAGAGAACACCCCTCTGACACAGAGAGAACACCCCTCTGTCACAGAGAGAACACCCCTCTGTCACAGAGAGAACAGAGAGAACACCCTCTGTCACACAGAGAGAACACCCCTCTGACACACAGAGAGAACACCCCTCTGTCACAGAGAGAACACCCCTCTGACACAGAGAGAACACCCCTCTGTCACAGAGAGAACACCCCTCTGACACACAGAGAGAACACCCCTCTGTCACAGAGAGAACACCCCTCTGTCACACAGAGAGAACACCCTCTGACACAGAGAGAACACCCCTCTGACACACAGAGAGAACACCCTCTGTCACAGAGAGAGAACACCCTCTGACACAGAGAAACACCCCTCTGACACAGAGAGAACACCCCTCTGTCACAGAGAGAACACCCCTCTGTCACACAGAGAGAACACCCCTCTGTCACACAGAGAGAACACCCCTCTGACACACAGAGAGAACACCCCTCTGTCACACACAGAGAGAACACCCCTCTGACACAGAGAGAGAACACCCCTCTGACACACAGAGAGAACACCCCTCTGTCACAGAGAGAACACCCCTCTGTCACAGAGAGAACACCCCTCTGTCACACAGAGAGAACACCCCTCTGTCACACAGAGAGAACACCCCTCTGACACACAGAGAGAACACCCCTCTGACACAGAGAGAACACCCTCTGTCACAGGGAGAACACTCATATTCCACTGAGTCTCTGTGTCTTTAGTCCAACACAAACTGAACCACATCAGACACAAGAAACAACAGTTTTTATCACACACATTAGTTTATGCAAATGAGTCATGTGGTTTAACGTTTAGTTTGTGTAAAATGTAAATAAATGTGTCAAAGTTGTGTGAATGGAGAAAACTCACGGACACAGAAACGACGAGTGTGGACGCACATCTTTTCTGATACAGTGATACGCAGATTTGTTTCAGTGTAAACAGGGTCCAAGTCTCACGATACGATATCGTCACAGAATGAACCTCAGGCCGGGACCAGACCAGAGGCTGAGAGCCCACGGCAGGGCTGGAGCTCGAAGCCCCGGTCTGGTTCCGGACCTGGATCAGTCCTGGTTCAGTCCGTGTGCAGCACAAAAGTTCGGCATCGCAGTCACAGAAGTCACGTAAACGGCCGTTACCGTTTTTTTTTTTCACCATTTTTCATTTAAACACAAAATTGAAAACTGAAAAAACAAATCGTTATCTGTTTTTTCATTTTGCTTTTGGAGACAAATAATGAAGAAAACTGTTGTTGTTTTTTTTCATTTTCTTATTTTTGGTTTTATATTGAAAAACAAATGAACGAACGACACACATGATCCAGGAAGAAATTCATTCAACTTTAAAATCAGAATAAAACAAACACTTCTCAATTAAGTTCAAATCTGAATTAAGTGCTGACATGATCTTTTCAAAGTGGAATAAATATTTATTCAGAATTAAATTATTTTTATTCTCATGTGGAAAATGAAACAAACACAACTCCAGCTGTGTGTGACGAGGAACATTAGAACATTAGAACATTAAAACATTAAAACATTAGAACATTAGAACATTAGAACATTAGAACATTAAAACAGGACTTGAAGCTCACAGGAGTCGGTTTTGTGTGACGTGGACCTTTTGTGTGTTCGTGTTCGTGTGCGTGTCTCAGGAAGGGGGACTACCATCGGTACCTGGCAGAGTTCACCACCGGGAACGACCGGAAGGGGGCGGCGGAGAACAGCCTGGTGGCGTACAAAGCGGCGAGCGACATCGCCATGACGGAGCTGACCCCCACGCACCCCATCCGCCTCGGCCTCGCCCTCAACTTCTCCGTCTTCTACTACGAGATCCTCAACTCGCCCGACCGCGCCTGCCGGTGAGTCGTAGGGAGCATTATCTGTCACGTGAGGGCGAGTTGTTGTACAGTTGTAGCGAGTATCATATAAGCTTTACAGTTGTAGGGAGTATTATATGAGTTGTATGGTTGTAGGGAGTATTATCTGTTACATGAGGGTTGTTGTACAGTTGTAGGGAGTATTATATAAGCTATAGAGTTGTAGGGAGTATTTATTACATGAGGGTGACTTGTGCAGTTGTAGGGAGTATTATCGGTTCAATAAGTGTGCGTTGTACAGTTTTAGGGAGTATCATCTGTTGTTGTACACTTGTAGGGAGTATTATCTGTCACATAAGGGTGAGTTGTACAGTTGTAGGGATTATTATATGTTGTTGTGCAGTTGTAGGGAGTATTATCTGTCACATAAGGGTGAGTTGTACAGTTGTAGGGATTATTATATGTTGTACAGTCGTAGGGAGTATTATCT